TGACGTAAACAAATGGTATTGTCCTGGTAAGACATAAAATCTTGCAATTGAGTAGCATGTCAGGTAAATTTATTTTCATTTTTTCTTTTCAAGTCCTGAATTCAACTCATTCCATAAATTTTTTAATTTGGAAAGATGAGCCGCCATATTATCATTTTCATTCCACTTGAATTGAAAAAAATTGCATGCATATATTATACATTTGATTTTGATGATGCTTCAAATAACTTATGTAATTGCAACCACACTTCTATAGCAGTCTGAAATCTCATAACTTTTTGCAGAGTTTCTTCCGTCATGGAATTCGTTAATACCATCATAGCACTAGTGTTTGCATTTTGAAACTTCTTAACAGCTTCATTATATTTCTCTTGTTGAACAATTGGAGCATTTACAGGAAGAATTTCTGGTTTCACTATAGTTCCTTCTACAATTTCTAAAGCACCAGGATGATAATTTAAAACAAATTTTATCCTGTATTTCCATATAAGCCAATCGCTTTCACCTGATAAAGGCTTACTGGATCTTAGATAATTCCATACTTTGATTTCTAAACAACTTTCGATTGCTATAACGAAAACAAAACACTTACTTGATTAGGCTTAACGAGTTCCGTTTCTTCGAGAAAACATCAATTCAAAACATTTGACGCAATATGGGAGCTTGCTTGACCCATAAACTAAAAAAGTATTTCTTAAAAAATACATAACCTAAAAAGGTATTTCTATAAATAGAGAAAACAAACAGTAGAGCAAAAATACGATGCTTTTATTGGAATTACAAACTATAGCTTTTTTTTGAACGACAGTATCGCGAATCACGATCTCCTGATGACGACAACACTGACTGTTGCCAGAACTTATCTAAACTATATATTATATTATTATTATTTTTATTAACATACTTTAATATTAGTTAATCTTAGTTTTAGTTTAATTCTTAGTCTTTTAAGTTCAAGTCCAAAGTGCGGACTTTATTTGTTCACTCCCAGGCGGAGTTTTGTGAAATCTTATAGAAATAATAAAAGGTTATTTACCCTTCTCTCTTGTTGTTTCCTGTCTTTGAACTCTAGCGATTATTCGCTTATCAGTTCCTAGGTTCCTCACTTCCAACATTAACTTAGAATTTCAAGTGAGGGACCTTACAATATAAAGATCATTTTTAACTTTAAAGTATATTTTTACACTACTATCTACTTTTTTGTAACATTTAGGCCAATCCTCTTTAATATATTTCATAACTATTTGCAAAACTGGATCTGATTCAGTTTGTTTCCTAAATTGCACCATTCTTCTTTAACTCATAGGCAAATCTTTTTAAATAATGTGAACAACATTTAGCATTTCAGGATCATCACTAATAATTTCATTCACAGGATATGCACATGACAAAGTGTCAGCAAAAAACATTTGATTTCCTGGAACACAATTTATCTCAAAATCATACTTTAGTAATTTTAAGATCATCCTTTGCATTCTAGACAAGATTTTATCCAATGGTTTCTTAACAATTGCCATTAGCGTCGTAACTCGCAAACTGCTTTTTTGGCGCCAAAATATTACAGTGACACCTAGCGGCGGAAAATGAAAATATTCTACGGCTCCGCAGCAGTAGAAACGCTTGTACGGATGCCGTAGGCGTGTCTTCAATTGACGCAACATGTTCCTACGCAGTAGTGGAAACGAGGCTTTACAGTCATAGTTATTTTAAATCTACACCACAATCACTTAATTGCCTCTTTTCTCAGCAACAGAACATTCAGAATCAAAATTGGAACTGTTTACTCTACCATCAGAGTACTCAAATCATTTATCCCATAGGGGTCTGCACTTTCGCAGTATCTTTTTAATATTTATACCCACATCCCTAAAGATCCTTCTGTTCATCTGGTACTCTTTGCCGATGACACCGCTATCCTTATTAAAGCCTGCACAGCAATCGCCGTAAGAAACCAACTACAAAACTATCTCATGAAACTGGAAAAATGGCTCACCCTTTGGAGGATTCAAATTGACACTGATAAGACCAAATCAATAATCTTCCGTAAGGGTAACATGAAATATTACCCTCCACCCTCTGAAATATTTGACGAAGAAATAGACTGGATTAATGAAACCAAATACTTTGGAGTCAGCCTGGATTAAAATCTTCCTTCAGAACCCACTTCCGCTCAGTTGCACAAAAATTTAAAATAACCTCAGCAACTATGGGACCTATTCTTGGTAGAAGAAGGAACTTATCTACAACTAACAAATTAATTTTATACCGTTCGATACTTCGTCCAGCCCTCCTTTACGCAGCTCCAATACGGGGACATGCAGCTAAAACCAGTATTAAACAATTACAAGTTCTACAAAATGAAATCTTACTAGAAATTATCAATGCTCTTTGGTATATTCCAAACATTTACATTCACAGAGACCTTTCAAATTGAACCCATACAAGACTATATTAAAAAATTAGCGGTCAGCTTCTTTCACTCAATACAATACCACAGTAAAAGCTCTACTCTCAGACACTCCTCGCACCCCATGGAAAAACATCGTTACCCATGTGACATCTTGCCTACTTTTAGCACCATAATTGACTGATTCAGACTACTTGACTCTGCGGTTTGACCCGCTTCATCTCGTAACGTCACTGACCTCACCCCCATTCACCTCCGCTAGCGCGGACCAGATTTCTTCTCACCTTGTCCTACACTGTTCTCCTTTCTTTTTTCCCTGATTCCTGATCAGATGCCGAGTAAGAAGATGTTTCTACATCTTGACATTCGAGAATAAAATACGATCTTCATCATCATCAAGCCTATGAGCCTCGTCCCTTCTTTGAGCCTTGATTTTTCTCTTTGCGGGCAGAAAGACTTAGCGGTTGCAAAATAAGCCATTTGTGTACCTTTGTCTCTGTTTAACTTTTCATTTCATTGCGATATATTAATCTAGTTTAGAACGATGGGAGATGATTGTGAACTTTTATTTTTTGATACATTTTCTCATGACACTAGTGAAGTTAGTAGGTTGAAATCTAGTGTTATTTAAATTATCAGAAATTGTATTTAGTATATTAATTATGACATTTTTACTTTGGCAGGAGCTTAATTTGGATTTAGTACAGTTTCCCCGACCTGTCTATATATTTGAAATTAGAATTATCCCACTTGGTGCTCGAGTGCAAGCAGATTTTCCGGGTGGCCATAGATTAGGGTAAGTAAATAATGAAGAAATGTTTACTAAGATGACCTAATAAATCCTCTTTTCTTTAATATACATATAATAAATATGAAACATTTTACTAATGAAATAATGTCATACCATGTGCATATATATTGTTATAAGTATTAAAGTATATTAATTTGGTGAAATATAAAATGTGGTATTTTTCTCATTTTTATTTAGAGCCACGAATCCATCATCATTTCAACTTGAGTTTTTTGTGAATGATTTAAGCAAAAGAAGTGCATCGACATTTGAAAAGTTGGGAAGGTGATTGTTTTAGACTTGTTTTAATATTTTGTTTTAGCAATGTATGTGACATACATCAGTACCGATATGCGTCAATTTTGGTTGACAAGATCATTTTAATAGTTATTTGTATTTTCACAACATTTAAGGAGAGGGAATACAAAACTTCTTCTATTACATGTGACCAAAATTTTATATAAACTGATAAGTTACAACTATGTATGTGTTGGGAAAAATGTGTCAAATAGTACTGAATATCAAGATTGGTTAATCTTTGGATTATGGTAACTTGGCGATTTTTTTGGCGAAAATTTGGCAACTAACCCTGCTTTTGTTTTGGACCCCATTTTGTTTTCACAAAGTAAAGGCATATTTTTTTTTTTTTTTTACTCAACATTTTTTCCAACAATCTGCTAGCCAAATTACGCTTATACTAGAACTTTTATGGAACAAAAATGCTTAATCATGATGAAGATTAGGTGTGAAATTGGGAGAAAGTGCAGAATCGCAAACTGCTTGCCACGTTTTTAAGAATTGCACATACACGGTATCATCCATGTACATGTCGACCTATTTTCACTTAAAAAATCATCCCAGAATTGCAAAAAAATGGCTTTGCGCACACTCTTGACTTTATCTATGTAAACTACTAAAGTCCTAGCTAGTAACTTTTATCGCCTTACCAAAATGTTGCCAAACTACCTGTTACCATATTTCAAAGGTTAGCCTCAAGATTTTTTAAAATGTATGTTAATTTTAGTTTTTTTTTTTTTTAATATTCTATGTTGTACTTCATACTTAATCATGAACAATTATCGAACTACTCTTATACACATCGTCGGCTGGCGACAGATTTCGGTTGATCTTTACATTATGGTAACTTGCCGATGAAGACATGTTTCTTTTCTTCTTATCTACTGAACACTTCTTCCAACAATCTACTAGCCGAATTACACTTTTGCTAGAAATTTTATCAAACAAAACTGCTTAATCATGACAAATATTCACTGCAAAATTGGGAAAAAGTGCACAATACCATACTCCTTACGCGTTTTTCAAAATAACACATACACATAAACCATGTACACGCCGACTTATTTTACTTAACATCCAAGAATTGCACAAAAAATGGCATTGCGCACAATCTTCACTATATCCATGTACGCTGCTTTTTTTCTCATAAAGTAGAAAAATTTCAAGAAAATACATGACAATTTTCTCAATCTTTAAACCCGTAAAAGAACATATATGAAATTACCTGATCGCGAAAAGTATTTACCCTTTACAATATGAAACATTTCCACATATAAAATAATAAAATATCAAAAAACGTTTACCTCTAAATCATCTATTACATTATACACGTCACCAACGAATTCATACCGCAAGTATTACAAATACTTAATATCAAAATATTTAAATTATTTCCATGCACGTTTATTTCAACTTAAACGTATACCAAATTCCTACAAACATAAATTCACAAAATAACTATCAGTTAATTAAAATACACTAAACCATGTACACGTCGACTTATTTTTACTTAAAAAACATCCCAGAATTGCACAAAAAATGGCATTGCGCACACTCTTCACTATATCCATGTACACTGCTTTTTTCTCATAAATTAGAAAATTTTCACGAAAATACATGACAATTTTCTCAATCTTTAAACCCGGTAAAAAGAACATATATGAAATTACCTGATCGCGAAAAAGTATTTACCCTTTACAATATGAACATTTCCACATATAAAATAAATAAATATCCAAAAACTTTTACCTCTAAATCATCTATTACATTATACACGTCACCAACGAATTCATACCGCAAGTATTACAATACTTAGTATCAAATTTTAAATTATTTCCATGCACGTTTATTTCAACTTAAACGTATACCAATTCCTACAAATATAAATTCACAAATAACTATCATTTTCATTAAAATATAATTAAATTCAAAAACACTACTTAAAATATAAATGAGCACATACATTAAATTAATAAAAATTAGCTTACAATCCTAATTACTTTAAACTAAATCATTGCTAATAACAATTTCCTAATAATACCAAATTCCTTTCCACCTTACATTTAGAACAGTGCATAAAAATAATATCCTCAAATAATTAAAAATACTAACTTACCTAATCTTCTTCAGAATCTTGATTACGTGGCGGATACACTTTTCTAATTCATTCAATAAAATTATCGAAAGAATTTTTTCTGCGAATTTTTCCTCCATACTTCCTCCGCTAAATAAAAAGCAAACTTCTCTTTATCACAATGCCTAAATACCCATTTCAAATTCACTTTAGTTAGGGCCATGGGATCCAAAAATTACGCAACACTGTTTCACACAACACAGAATAAAGCTAAATACAAAATTTCCACATTTTTTCCCAATTCCCCCCCCTTTTCCGATTAAAGAACCGTAATTCGTCCATTAATATCACATGACATATCCCATGATCTCTCATTTCCCTCACACAAAATAATGCGTAATCGGAACTGAGTACTGCTCACATTATTACCAAAGTCCCAGGTAGTAACCTTTATCGCCTCCAAAATGTCGCCAAACTACCAGTTACCATATTGTAAAGATCAACCCAGATTTCTTGCCAAACATTTTTGGCGAGAAATTTCCACGGTGCTATATTACTATCTAAATTTTTTATCTACATTTTGAATGTTAAGCCTAAAATGTCTGCAAAAACGACGTTTTTAACACACAATTTACACCAAAAATCTGAAACAAAAACAAAATATTTTGATAGCAAAAGTGTAAAGTTTCTAACCAAAAATATTTGACAAGAGACTATGTACACAGTGATCTGTTTTAACTTAAAAAAAAATCGGAGAATTGCACAATTTATGCAGTGTAGGGATCTAGGAATTGCGCACAAATCAAAAAAATAAAGTAAAATAAATTACAAGCAATTCATAAAACGACAGTAACAACCGAAATTCATTGCAAAAAAAAAAAAAAAAAAAAAAAAATAACATAACATTCTACGAATTGAGAACAACAATAAAATGAAATACGGTACAACTCTAATATACGCCCTAATTTCACCAAATGTGGCGATATATGTTCTGCGCTGGTTTTTGGCGCGATTGCGTGTTCTATGGCAACCCTGTTGACGTTGAAAAAACTTTCGCTGGAGCTCGTTGGTTCGCCTCTGTGTCTCAGAAGATGGGAGGGAAAGATAAAATGGTAGTTGTTGAATTGAAGTTCGGCAAAAGGAAATATGATTGTGGCTATCCTGTTGAGGGGTAGTGGGTATTTGGATGTGTGGAAAGAGGGTCTGGGAGATTATTTTTAATGGCAGTGCATGATAGAAGAAGGGATTTGTGATTTTATTTATTTGTGAACCATAGTATAAATTTTCTGGATAGTGTGTCTGGCTGTTATGTAAATACGATAGTGGTTACGTGGCGGCATGTTAAAGGCGGTATGAAATTTATATTTCTGCTATTCGAAAACACATTAATTCATGGTAAGTGCATTTTATTTTATCCTTGTTCTTATTTTGTAGAATGTTATGTTCATTGGTTCTTCGTTATTGTTGTTTTTGTTTTAAATTGTTTGAAATTTATTTTAGTTTATTTTGTTGTTAGTGTCTAGACTGTACAATTCTATATGTTTTTTAAAGTTAAAACAGAATGCTGTGTGTACATGGATTATTTGAAACTTGTTGTTGTTATGTTATTTTATTAAAGCGAGGAGTGCGTAGATCGTAGATTCCTTCTTGCCTAAAATTGTGCAATTCGTAGAATTTTTTTAAGTTTAAACAGGATGCTGTGTACATGGTATTCTTTGAAATTTATTGCTGTTGTATTAATTTACTAAAGCGAGGTGTGCGTTAGTTTTTAGATTTGTTCATTGCCTACATTGTGCAATTCGTAGATGTTTTTTTTAAGTTAAAACATGCGCTGTGTACATGGATTCTTGTCAAATATTTTTGGTTAGAAACTTTACGTTTTCGCTATCTAAATTTTTTGTTTTTGTTTCAGATTTTTAGCTAAATTGTGTGTTCAAAACGTAGTTTTTGCATGTGCGAAAACTGCGTTTTTGGAGATATTTTAGGCTAAAAGTTCAAAATGTAGACAAAAAATTTAGATTGTAATATGGCAGCGTGAAGTATTTGGCGAGAAATTCGGCGACTTGAGGGCGCATATCAGAGTAGTTCCTAAAATACATTTACTATTGTGAATGCTTCTTCAAGCAGCAGAAATATCAATTTTAAACATCAGTAATACTCGTCAATTTCCACCACATTTTTTGGATCCTAGCAGAGCCCACGTCCTTGGCACTAGCAGAGCCCACTTTATATGGCACGTATCGATGTGTACATGGACAAGTCTGTGTGCAGTGCCAAGTTAGTGCAATTCTGGGATGTTTCTTTAAGTGAAAATAGGTCAATGTGTACATGGATACCGAGTTTGTGCAATTTTTTTACTTTTTTATTTTCAAGTTGGCGATTTTGAGAAACGCGTGAAGCAGTGGGCGATTCTGCACTTTCCCAGTTTGTCGCCAATGGTGTGGGCTCTCCTAGGATTTTTGCCCACCACTTTATCCTTCCCCCATCTTCTGAGACACAGAGCATACAAAGCCCAGCATACATTCGTGAATAAAATTTTGCCAGTCATACAACATCTGTGAATAAAAGTGCCGTAATTTTGCTATATCACACATCTTTTTTCAATTAAAAATTTGAAAAGTAACGATAAAAACTTTCTCCAAAGTTAACTTTAAAGTTAACACAAAAACCAAGATCTAAATCTTAAACTTTGCTGACAGCCACATACTTTACCCGGAACCATTTGCCTGCAAACAAACCACTCCAGCAAAATAAAGTTTCAATGTCAAAAGGGTTGCCATACAAACAACATCGTGCCAAAAGCTGTCGCAAAGCACGCAATCGAGCCCGAAATCAGCGCAGAACACATATTGCCACATGTGGTGACGCCATACATCTGAGGGCGTATATAAGAGTAGTATCAAAATTATATGAT